AAAAAAAATTGTAGGGTACCCTAAAGGGCATCCCTCAAATAAAATTATTTGAGGGATCCCTCAATAGAAGGGGACTGATATATATATATATATATATATGCATAGATACTACAGTTTCGGAAATGCCAAGTGCAGGCACTCGCACAAACACTTCAACTGTTGATGCAATGTAGACCTCTCATGTATCAACGGCCACCAGCCGCCAATCAGGCATAGCGATTCACTCAAGCACAACTCTCTTTAATGGAGAATTCACTCAATCCGATATACTCGAACTCGATCCAATTTATCGAATTGGCCCACAACTTAAATAATTGGGTCTGTTGGATGGACTTATATTGGGTTTGGATCAATGTTTTTTTGGACAAACAAACGCGGGCAAATTAAAAAAAAAAAATTAAGGAAGGAAAACTAGACGACACTGGACACCTCCAGATGCTTCTTCTACAACCTTCTATTGCCTCTTCTCCAAGTCTTCTTCAGTCTTTTTCACTCGCTCTCTGAAGAGACTATTTTATAGCAAAACCCTTCACCGTTGAGCTTGCTTTTGTGATTATTTGGTTTCATTTCATGGTCCAATGGCGAGCCGCAGAGCCACAAGACTCACCCAGTCGACTTTGGCTTTGGCGTCCCTGAACGCCTCTAAAGCCCCAAGAAACTCTATCTCTCAGTCTCGTGCAATCGCAGTGGCAGCCTCCGCTCGCGCCTTCGATAGCTCCGTTGCTCCCTTCTCTCGCCCCAACGTCGTTTCAGAGAGCAGTAATGTCGTTTCAGTCAAGTATTTGGCAACCGCCTTCACTCGCAGCTTTCACTCTTCCACTCCCAAATTCTACTCAGCCACAACCTCTTCTCAGGTCTCAAGCTCTGAAAGTTTTCTCATTTAATTTCATCAAGTATTGAATTATATGAAAAGAATTGGAGGCTAATTTTTGTTGTTGATTGAAATATCAGGCTAATCCGAATGAGTACACTGAGATGGCTTGGGGGGGCATTGTGGGTGCTGTTGATGCCGCCCGAGTTAGCAAGCAACAGGTTGTGGAAACTGAGCACTTAATGAAAGCGCTTTTGGAGCAAAAGGATGGTTTGGCCAGGAGAATTTTCACCAAGGCTGGCTTAGACAACACCACGGTTCTTCAAGCTACTGATAACTTCATTGCTCAGCAACCCAAGGTGCTTTGATGAAAACCCATATCTCATTTTGCATCATATCAAATATGTAATGGCTTTGTTTGTAGGAGGTAGTGAACAATTTGAACATTGTGTTGTGGCAGGTGACGGGTGCCACCTCTGGGCCTGTTATGGGCTCACATCTGAGTGGTGTGTTGGACAATGCCCGGCGGCAGAAGAAAGACATGGGAGATGATTTCGTGTCGGTGGAGCACCTTGTGTTGGCGTTCCAGTCAGATACTCGGTTTGGGCAGCAATTGTTTAGAAATCTCCAGCTTAGTGATAAGGATTTGAAGGAGGCTGTTAAGGATGTTCGTGGAAGTCAGAGAGTCACTGATCAAAGTATGATGTGCTCCACCTTAAGTTGATGTTTTAGAATTCTGTGTACTTGCTATTTTTATATGCTTTAATTAATATAATCCATATTGTGTATAGATCCCGAAGGAAAATATGAGGCCTTGGATAAATACGGGAATGACTTAACTGAACTCGCTAGGCGTGGCAAACTTGATCCTGTTATAGGCCGAGATGATGAAATACGGCGGTGTATCCAGATATTGTCCAGGAGAACGAAAAACAATCCTGTTATTATTGGTGAGCCTGGTGTGGGAAAAACTGCGATTGCTGAAGGGTATGTTCATTCAAGTGCATTGCTTTGCTGTACTTTGTTATGACTGTTTCAAAAAGTTCTAAGATATATGCCTTAGTTTATTTAATTTATATGAGTAATTTCGTTGACTTGATGCATCTTTTACATGCCTTCTGGGCACTACCATAACACCTTAGGAAGTAAGTTTGTTCAATCAACCACCCAGATGTTCTGGTATTCTCAAGCATTGCTATTATCACATAAAGACTGATGTTGAACAATTTGCCTGGTGGCATAAATTGCCAGATTATTCATTGTGCATCCTATGCATTGTTCTGTTGTATTGTTTTACTATAACTTTTGTATGATCTGCAGATTAGCTCAACGAATTGTGCGTGGGGATGTTCCAGAACCGCTATTGAATAGAAAGGTAGTCATTCGTTTTAGTTTTAATTATCAATTCTAAAAACTATAAGACAATAAGAGTTTTATGTAGAAACGAAACCTTGGTTTCAAAATATTTTTTTCCTTGATCTTCAAATTTATACATAGTTTTGCATTTTGTCTTCTATTCTACAGTTGATTTCCTTAGATATGGGTTCATTGGTTGCTGGTGCCAAGTTTCGTGGGGATTTTGAGGAAAGGTTGAAAGCTGTGTTGAAGGAAGTTACTGCTTCAAATGGACAGATTATATTATTCATTGATGAGATTCATACTGTTGTAGGAGCAGGTTTGTGCAAAAGTAGAGTCTTTTTTTTGTGTGGGTCTGTTGTGTTTTCTCCTGATGTCCTTGTTAATGATTCTTGTAGGGGCTACAAGTGGTGCGATGGATGCTGGGAACTTGTTGAAGCCAATGCTTGGGAGAGGTGAGCTTCGCTGTATAGGAGCAACTACATTAAATGAGTACAGAAAGTATGTTGAGAAGGATCCTGCACTTGAGCGTAGATTTCAACAAGTGTTTTGTGGCCAGCCATCTGTCGAAGACACAATATCCATTCTTCGTGGCTTGCGTGAGCGCTATGAGCTGCATCATGGTGTGAAAATATCAGATAGTGCCCTTGTTTCTGCAGCTGTTCTTTCTGACAGATACATTACAGAACGTTTTTTGCCTGACAAAGGTAATAATAATTTCCACCTTATAGGCTTTTGTGGCAGGAGGGGATGAGGAGGGTTGGTGGGATTTGTTTTCTCAAAATAAAATTTGTGTTTGATAGATCTTGCAAGTATAGGAATAAGATGCACTCATTTTTTTGGAACTTCCATTGGGTGGATTTCAACCAATACAAATAGAGGGCTTGGAGCCAACGTAATAAAGAAAAGAAGGGATGGAAGAACTAGAATTTTCTTTATAGTTCCCTCTTGTGAATTTGTCTTCATGTTTAGTATTGGACTAGGATATCTGATTCTATAAAGCTGAAAAAATGAAAAGCTTAGTCACACCCACACCCTTGAAGACTCTTACCATTAAATTCTTCTGTTTTCTCTTTTGTCAACTATAAGTTTTGTAACTTATCTTCCCTGTTTCAGCCATTGATCTCGTTGATGAAGCTGCTGCAAAGCTGAAGATGGAGATCACTTCTAAGCCCACTGAATTGGATGAGGTAGACAGAGCTGTGTTGAAGTTGGAGATGGAGAAGCTGTCTGTGCAAAATGACACTGATAAATCATCGAAAGAAAGGTTAAGCAAGCTGGAAAATGATCTGGCATTGCTTAAGCAGAAACAAAAAGAATTAACCGAACAATGGGATCATGAGAAGGCTCTCATGACTCGGATACGATCAGTTAAAGAAGAGGTATTTGTCCATTATTGTTGTTGGCAAGTTTCCTCATCCCTTGAGTTGCTGATTCATATGTTTCTAATTTTTGTAGATTGATAGAGTAAACCAAGAGATGGAATCTGCTGAACGTGACTATGACCTAAATCGTGCTGCGGAGCTCAAATATGGAACTCTAACATCCCTACAACGCCAGTTAGAAGAGGCAGAGAAAAACCTTGCTGAGTATCAGAAGTCTGGAAATGCTTTGCTTCGAGAAGAAGTCACCGATCTTGATATTGCTGAAATTGTAAGCAAATGGACTGGTATACCCTTGTCAAACCTTCAACAATCAGAAAGAGACAAGCTAGTTATGCTAGAACAGGTTCTTCATAAGAGGGTGGTCGGTCAGGATATAGCTGTGAAATCAGTGGCTGATGCAATTCGACGTTCAAGGGCAGGCCTATCTGACCCAAACCGACCAATAGCAAGTTTTATGTTCATGGGTCCAACTGGTGTGGGGAAAACAGAGCTGGCAAAGGCTTTGGCTGGCTATCTCTTTAACACGGAAAATGCTCTTGTCAGAATTGATATGAGCGAGTACATGGAAAAACATGCAGTTTCACGCTTGGTTGGGGCACCACCTGGTTATGTTGGTTACGAAGAAGGTGGGCAGCTAACAGAAGTGGTTCGTCGAAGACCTTATTGTGTAGTGCTGTTTGATGAAATAGAGAAAGCACATCATGATGTCTTCAACATTTTATTACAATTGTTGGATGATGGGAGGATCACCGACTCTCAAGGGCGAACTGTAAGCTTCACCAATTGTGTGGTGATAATGACCTCAAACCTGGGCTCCCACTACATACTTGAAACTCTTCGTAATACACATGATAGCAAGGATGCAGTTTATGAAGTTATGAAAAGACAAGTTGTTGAGTTGGCGAGACAAACTTTCCGCCCTGAATTTA